GTGACGGAACATGTCTTTTTGTCTGTCTCTGTCACTGGACTTGTCTTGGAGACTCCGCTATGGACCAAGATCAAGAGGCATCTCTTTACCTCCTCGTACCTTATCTAGTCAATCAATGAATACAGACCGGTTCTTGAAACTCAGTTCGCACGCCAGGACAAGATAAGGAATGTGTGAGCTTTGCGCCTGGAAGTCCTTGGTCCCCTCGGCCTAGGCATGCTGAGAAGAGTTTCAACGATCGATTCCTGTGTGTGAGACTGAAGCTAACTTTAAAGAAGGAACCTCTGAGCTCAGTGAAGAGTGTTTTACAGGTTTTGTTTCCCAATCCCTTGCAAATGGCACGAACTGTGAATACTGTAGCTACGATCATCCTAGTGTTCGGACTCCATTGCCAGATATTTCCTGCCTAAATGTCCTCATTCCCCAAATGTCCTGTAACCCTCTCCTTTTTTCACATTCATGTCGTTTAATCTCTAAAGGAAAGAGTTAGTTTGTCTGCATGCTGTCATGCTATGATAATGCGGCCAATTTCATCATTTTGAAAGCTCACCTGGATTATCTCTTCCCTGCGAATCGATAGCTTAGCCTCTGCTCCTCCTGATCATCTCTCTTTCTTTATTCAATGGGCCAGTTGCTCTGGTAACAGAATCATGTTTTGATGCTTGGTTCTAGTAGATTAGCTCTAAATAAGAAAGTCTGTCATCAGTCCCAACAGCAACTCTCTACCTTGAATATTAACCGAGATATCCCGCCTTGAAAAACTCGATTTATGATGTCATCCACTGCCGTAGTGCATAACATGATACGTCCTACCACGGTGGATGACATCATAAATCGAGTTTAGGCGAGATACCTCGGTTAATATTCAACGTAGAAACTTGCTGTTTGGCCAGATCTTATCATTTTTAGTTTATCTGCATGAGTAAAGTATCAAAACTCGATTCTGAGACCAGCACAACTGACCCATTCTTCCACTCCTATGTTTTATTTCCATTGTTTCAAGTCTAAATTTTTTCGCAATTACCTGTTTACTCTGCTCACTAGAGGTGTTGTCAGCTAAATAGGCACTTGTTTACATTCCACTGGAAGCAATAGACGCCGTTAGTGGCGATGTCATCATATGGATTCTCCATTATATCAAATTGGATCCAAACAATAACATTGGAGTAACCTCTTTCAATGCTACTAATGCGAATAAATCGATAAATATCGCTTTTTTGTGATGTGCCACCAATAGTGTCTATTGCGATGCAATTGTCCAACAGCAATAGGGGATTGATGGCAGCTCGATTACTGTTGGACGACTGCATTGTAGTTGCTTGCAAACGATATGTAATCAAGTGCCAACTTAGCTGACGACACCTCTACCTCAAGTTAGCAGCATTACTTTTGATAGTTAAGCACAAGTTTTTCCTACCTCTTGAAGGCATAAAGTTGTTTGACCAATTTTATCTACTCTTAACTGTCAACCTTCTCTGGTATTGAATCTTGCAACACTCAAGAATATTTATTTTTGGTTTACAGTGTACTCTCTGTTCTTAGTCTAATAGAGTGGGTATGTTTTCAAAACCATTCATTTCTCTAAGTTCCATGTACAACAATGCTTACTTGCCAAGTCACATTTTTATGTCTTTGATGGTATTTTGCTCAAAGGAGTCAACGTCTCAAAATGGCAGCAGCTAGGGGAACATTAACTGATGCCTCATCCAAAGTTGACGCCTTAGGTGAGCGTACATTACCTGATGAACTACCGCGTATCGAAGCTTAGCCATGCTCTCTCATTTATCAAGCTAACTTTGATACCAACTTCGAAGACCGGAATGGGTTCGTCACTGGCATAGCAAAGTACATTGAAGAAGCCACTGTTCACGCCAGTTTAGGAAGCTTCACATTCCTGCTACTTGACCACCGTTAATCTGTTTAATTGAATGGATGATAAATGATAATTTATAATTTTTTGAAAAATCTTGCTTTTTCAAGATAATTTTGAGAAAAATGAGAGGAAATCATAAGTTTTTAGCAGTGAATGAATAATATCAAGAACTACTGATAACATGCTTCAATCGGTACTCAGAAAAAATGATATGACTCTTTCACTCTTACCTAAATCATTACAGAGCTACGGCAGGATTAGAAACTTCATATCCAAAAAGTTAGTTCTATGCAAGTGTTTTCAACTTAAAGCAGACATTTTGAAAATAGGTAGAGGCATCTATTTTAGAAAAAAGTCAGATATTCATATATGTCTTTGATGGACGGTCATTTGAACCTTGATGTCAATTTTAAAGATTTAAAACTATCCAAGGAATCCGTTGCAGATCGACCTTTAAATGTAAATGTACCCATTTTTGAACCTTTATGGTGTATGCACTGAAAACAGTCAATAGGTTTTTTCATTGAGGCTTAATCGACACCGGTTTTGGTCATTTTAAAAATTCAGAGCTTTGCCATGTTGTGAATTTGAATTTGTCAATCTACTAATCCTGTAAAATATCCATTTGTAATGCTCCAGAATGAACTGTTGGAAGATGGCTTGGAACATGCGGTCATGCTGTACACGTGGCGATGTTGCTCTCGAGCCATCCCACAACCGAAGTCCAATGAGCAGTCAAACTGGGTGGAAATCTATGAAAAGACTGTTGAAGTATTAGCTCCTGAAGTGAACAAGCTGCTTAATATCATGTATTTCAGGTGAGCATTCTAATTTTGTTAGTTTTCGACATTCAGTATGCAATTGAAGTGGTGTATTACAGGTGAAAACTTGCATCACGTTCTCTACCAATGTGTCTAAGATGTGTAACTGATCTTGCTGGGCCAGAAAAACATGCAAGAAAAAAGGGACATTTGAATGCTTCAAACCACAATTTCCACTAATTGCCACAGTGCTAGAACTTGGTTTAGGTTACCCACCTGACACCTGTAGTCTCCAGTTATATAATTAAAAGACAAGTAACTAAACGAAAGTATATCAATTACACTGATAAAATGATTAAATTAATTTTCTTTGTCTTTAATATTAAAAATTTTAATAAAAATATTTACCTAATTAATTAAAATTACTCCCCTCTGCTTTTTAGGTCCGTGCAAAAACTGGTGATGGTGCCTATATTGCACAACTGTGTGATTTTTTATTTATTTAGTATGAATTGGTACAATTGAAACAATGAAAATTGTTATAGTACATGCAAAATACCGGTCACCGTGCCTGAAATTACCTGGCGCATTTAGCAAGAAAGGGGTCTTGGCTGTGGACTTGTCAAAGGTCTTAGTCTTTTTGATTTTCATTCAGTTTTTCCGTCTATTGACTTCCATCTTATTTTTGCCAATATTCATGGGAAAATTTCATTTTTCTAGGATTTATGCCATAGGGTTAGATCTCAATTGATTATACAATGATAAATTCTCGCTTGCCAAATGATAATTACTTTTTTGAACTATTGCCCTGAGAGACGTTTCATGCTTCCAGAGAGGAAACTATCGTGTGAATCTTCTGAAAATTTTCATCTAGAGAAATATAAAATCATGAAGAATATTCAGTCGGAGTTACAGCGAATTACATACATTTGCTTAATCATAATGGATGAAAAATTGGTGAAGATTCTGAAACACTACAACTGAAGAGTGTCCTTTCTGTGCTTTGATTTTCTCAAAAATTGGAATTACGTAATAAATCCTAATAATGCATTTGAATTTCACTCCATCACTCTCTCCATACTTTACTTTGATTATTCCTCAATTTGTTTACTCCTATCAAACCATACATGACATCTAGAAAAGTCTTACTTTCTACTTACAAACCATGTTTTACGCTCAGTCCGCATTTCAGCAGCTTCTGTGGTCACAAGCATCAGTTGATTGTCAATGTTGATGGCGGCTAGGAGGGTAGTCACTACAGCGCATACTGATCATGCAAAACGTAGGTGATAGAGTTTTCTAAGTTTGGTGCACATTTTAATCACATAACTTTTACTGTCAAGGAATAAATCAATTTAGTGAGATCATTAATTTTATATTTAACTCCAATTATTTCTTTCACTGCGAAAAGCTATTGAAAGGTTTTGTGCAGAGGTTAAAAGGCTGTGCCATGCTGAAAAGAGGAAGGATTGCGTCGGAAGCCTACTTGCTCACCCTAGGAAAATTTATCAGTATGATTGCGGTGCTAGATAAACTGAAAAACATGAAATCATGTGTGAAAAATGATTATTCTACCTAGTGTCGGTAAGTTTATGTCTGTAAAGTAGTAAAAGATTTCTCCATTTTAAAGTTTTCTCCTGTGTACTTGAATGGAGATTATTTTAAAAAATTATGGTACAGAAGTAATATCGCAAAAGTCTCTACAAGAGCTGTCCGAAAATAAATAATTAAGTCTTACGTTTTAATTAGAGTTTATTAGGACTGGGGAAAGAAAAGAAGAGTCAAAAGTCACATCAGTCTGAATGCATCAATCATCAGTGGGTCCATTGGTTAGCATGTAAGTATCTGTTGAATGGTGCAATTTTTGGATGTGACATTTGTCTCTTCTTTTCTTTCCCTAGTTCTATGTCTTTCAGCCATCTGGCATATCTTCAATTGTCAAGAAATTTTACCCAAATTAGTCAGGAAAATTCCTTTTCTAAACTCTGTGGCAACCCTGTGTTGCATTGTGGAGAGTTAAGTCCTTTGTCCTTGACATCGAACAGTTTTCTCCCTTCCTTCCGATTCATATCAAACCTCCGTTGTAGCTCAGAAGTATCGTGACAAGTCTCTACACCATTGCCTCTTTTTTCAGTGCCGCCCAGTTCTCAAAAGTTATGGCAGATTCACACACCCTGCAAGAGTCGCAGAATTCATCCATGTTTCTTGCTTCACAGAACGAAATTCGAGACACGGTGAAAGAGAATTTGGAAAAAATAATCGGTTACAAAGAGCTTCTGTCCGATGTTGTCAAACTGTGTGTGCCCATGTTCGAAACAAAGATGTACCTGACACCCACCGAAAAGCACATGCTGGTTAAAGTGAGTATCATGGCATCCCATCTTCACGATTCGTTCTACCTTCGTAAGGGATTGGTTCTGACTTTTTTTTCAAGGCCTTGGAAGTGCTTGAATTCTTCTCTACTGATAAGAGTCAGCAGTTAATTTAAAGAAATAAAGAAACATTTTTTGATATTTCGTTGAATGTAAGAAAACATCTTGTTTACAAACGAAATCGCTGTCTTTCTGAAACGAGAATCCAAAATTGTGAACTCAAGCTCTTATCACAGGGAAATTACTGTGTTTTTGAAAAAATTCGGAAAAAAAGTGAATTGTTGTTCCAGTCATAAGCCAGTTAAGACTCTGAAGATCTCAAAATTGAGGTTTTAACACTACTCTCAGAAAAGTGTTTTTTAAAAATTCTCGCTGCCATTAATGCTCTTAGATTTTAAACTAAACTTTTTAATTCAAGAAATGTAACTGAAGTTCAGGCGATTCGTGAACTTTTAATAAGATTGTGTATTTTGGCCATGTGTCTCATTGTCAGTCCTTCTGTGCTGTTCTTGACTCCATAGCAAGACAGTTCTAAGTTAATCAGTATTTTTTCTCAGGTTTCACAATTATTTGAAATCTGCCAGATGTAAGTATTACCACTTATCTCTACGGTCGCTAAATATTTTTTCATGCCCTTTTAAGACTATCGTAGGTGAAGAATCTTATGGTGCAAACCAGGTATGGAAAGCAATGAAACACCAGGGGATTGCAACATTAACTGTCCGAAGGGTAACAGTTGATCTAAGTATATGACCAGGGGCTTGATTCTGTGTTGCTCTCAGGCAATGTCATAGGCATGAGGTACGCACCCATTGCAATGTTACACATCTTCTCTTTCCATGTGATGGTGAGAGATCGTCAGACTAGAATGTAATTAAAATGCTGCCTTCAATTTTGTTGATTAGAGGTGAGATTGTTTGGCGAAATATTGAGAATTTGTTTTTCACGACCCTCTGCAAGCACCCTCATAATGTTTTGGAATGCGACATGTGAGGCAAAACTTTTGTTGCCTATTTGTTATTAATTTTCTTCACGTCCAAAAATTTTCATCTTGAAGAGTTTTTAGTTTATACCCGAATTGGTGGGCAGTGGCTGATAGCAAGAGCAATTACTACTAGCTAATACTACAAGTCGGGAATGACAAAGAAAAACTCTTAAGATGAGTGAAGAAACTTAAAAATTTATTATCTTAATTTTTAAGCCTTCCTCACCCATCATTCAAATTTTTCATTCACTCCCTTTACCCCATTTCCAGCTATCGAGTCCACCATATGAGTAACTAAATTTCAATGTTAGTACCTCTTTGATACCTGTCTCTAAAATCTCTCACTCTTCTTGAGTGCTTGGAAATTGAGGAACTGACAAAAAGTGTTCTTCGATTCGTCTCTCCATGATGCATCATCTAAATGAAGGAGAAGTGATGATTTTAAATCTAAAGGGGTATCCTCTGGAACTTCAGTAACCAGTGAAAAACTGCAGCATCAAATAGTTGGCGTTGCTTAGGTGACAGTAGAAGCTTCAGGATAATTAATGAGCCTCCTGCTCGGTGAATGATGATCATTTTTTGTCTGTCTCCAGCACCATTCGCAATAAATGTCTGCTTTGATTTCTAAAGGAACCTTGATTTGCTCCCTTTCTTCTCTTCTTAGATGAGAGAATACGCAGCACAATGTTCAGACACCTTTATGACGCAGTTCCATGTGGGGGTTACAAGTACTGTCTCATATTTTGTAGTTTTACTAATGGTTTTAATGTTTGTTTTTAGGTTGTCGGAAAATCGGAAGCTACATTTCGTTCGTGCGTTAGTTATTCGCTTGGTTTTTGTCTGTTTTGGTAACTTAATAAATTGTAAGATGCAAAGATCCAGTTGGACACGAATATTAAGTGTGAGTACTGTATTATATATTTTTCAGATGGTTTTTCATATTTTCTTGAGACGGAATTTCTCTAAGTTGTAGCTGAATAAAGTCAACAAGTGAGAATATGAAAATGATAGCATTTTGTGCAACTAAGACTTCTCACACACACACGGCTGCTGATGTGTCAGTTCTTATGACCCTTCAAAACTTTTTTCCTTCATCATTTTTTATTTTTTAGTCAATTTTCTGGAATGTTATTTCGAATGTTGAAGTAAAAGTTCAGCGGTAAACGCCATTCACTACAATATCAAACTGCCGATCCAACAAAAACATTAAGAAATCCAAAACATGTACTGTGCATGAAACGTGAAGTTAACTTTTAACGTAGCACTATATATTAAAGTGTTATTTACTCCCTTTACTATAATTGAATTGATGTTTGATTTTATCACCTGGGAACAAAGTCTTCTCATCTGAGGGGAAAAAGTCCTCCAGGCGAGGACATGTGGGGAGGTTCGTGTGATGGAAATGTGAAAATAATCAGAGCTAGATTATTTCTGAAAATGGAACAACTCTTATAAATCATACAACACAACAGGTGAATAACCCAAAGAACACCATAATTTCTCTGGAGGATGGTAAGCAACCATTGAAGGATGTACAGTCTGATATGATATTGCTTCCAAATCAGTCAATCACAGAAGGAACGATATTGATTGACGTATTAGGGTTCTATTCTAAGTGCGGTCACAAAAAAGTTTTTACTTTCTCGCGCTACCATCTCCATCCCTTTCCAACTGACCGAAGTCTCTAAATTTGTAATTCTAAATTTGAGATTTATTGGGATTTCAAATTTATTGATACTCATTAGGAAATGATTTTTGAAATACGAAATTTTCCACCTTTTTCCTTGGAGGAGGAAGGAGGTTGGATTTAATGAATATCATCAATTAAGGTGAATCCTGGGTTCGATTAGGGATAATTCAAGATTAGAGATAGCGCCACCAGTCCCCACTGAGAATTTCACTTTCCTTCGCCGATAACTGAAATAATATTTCTCAAATTACAAAAAGCAGATCCACAAGATATAGATTAATTTTTGCTTGATTTTTTGAGCCAAACATATTGGCACTTAGAATTACAAGTGCAGAGAAAGTACGGCTGAAACTTTCAGGTCAGAGGCGGCGGCCGAGCGCAGAACGGAATCCTTCATCAGGGTGTCTAGCGACCGGGAAAGTCAGGGAAGAAAAACGCAAAACCGGGGGAGAAGCGAACTCCCGTCGAAGATCGTAACTTTTTGCATAACTTTATGGCGCTTCGATACGCTGTGCAACAAAAAAAAATGACACAAATGTCTCCTGGACGAGATAAGGTGATAATTATGTATTTTAAGGCGCTGAATCCGAATATGACCTCCGTTTTTTCCCATCACCCTCCAGTTTTCCGATGAAGTCAATTTGACCCGGAAAAATGGCCACTTTCGGGCACTTTTGGTGTTTTTGCGACTATTACCCCCTGCAGGATGTAGGTACAATTTTTCTCTGGTACGAAAAACGGTTATTACGATGTATTTTGAGCCGCTGAGTCCGAAAATGACCTTCATTTTTCCCTGTCACCTCTCAGTTTTCCGGGAAAGCGACTTTTCCATGGAAAATGAGCAAATTTGAAGTATATTTTTCATGCATGGCATTTATTTGTTTAAATTTTCCTGGACCCGTGGTGCAGTCATTCTTATGTGTTTTAAGCCGCTGGATCCGAATATGACCTCGGTTTTTTTCTATCACCCCCGAATTTTTCGGTAATGTCGATCTTTCAGAGCCTAAATTTGTGTATAAGCTTTCCCGGACTCAAAGGGGATCAAAAATGTATTTTAAACATGTCTGCGACGTGTGATACATCGATTCCTATGTATTTTGACTCGCTAAACCCGAATGTGATCTTGGATTTTTCCGATCACCCACGATTTTCCCGGAAAATCGATTTTCCTTGGAAAACTAACTTTCTACCTAGGTGTTTTACGGACGATTTTCCTGTTGCGAGGAGTCTAAGAAATTTTCTGAGATCCTCTCTAGATCCCTCCTGCTGTACCTATTAAGAGCAGCTGAATCCAAATTTGATCTCTATTCATCTCTGACAACCCCCCATTTTCTGGAAAGTCCGATTTTTCCGGGAAAAAAGCTTTTCCGAACCGTCCCCACCTCCAGAGAAATTTGAAAAATTTTCTGCATGTGTGATGCATCGATTCTTATGTAATTTGAGCTGGAAAACCCGAATTTGACCTCAGAAATTTGTTATCACCCACCATTTTCACGGAAAACTCGATTTTTTGGAAAAAATGGTTATTTTTGACCATTTACGGTGTTTTTGCGACTGTTACACCTTGTGGAATGTGTGTAAGATTTTTCCTGGCTACAAATTAGATTATGCATTAGGTATTGTTAGTCCCTGAGTCTGGAAATGGCTTCTATTTTTTTCTATGAGCCCTCAGTTTTGAAAAAAGACACTTTTTGCAGGGAGATTAAGTTAAATTGACTTATTTTAGTCGGGCATGCTAGTCTTATTTAAATAATTATCCTGGATCCGTGAAGGGGAGACTCCTATGTAGTTTTAAATGCTGAATCAGAATATGACCTGGGTCATTCCACGTCAACTGTGCCAGGCTCGGAACCCGACCCCCTCCGATTTGGCTGAAAATTGGTATACGGGGTCTTTACATCATTTTAAGAAACTAATTTGAAGGATTTTCCCATCCGACGCCCCGTTCGCGAGATATCGACCCCCAAAGATGGGGTGAATTTTAGCGATATTCAAAAAAGCCCGTTTTAGCGATTCTCATTTTCTCGACTTCCCTCTCTTTGACTCCCCATAGCGAGACTCTGTATCAATCCATCATACTTTGAAAGAGTGTTTCTAGACCAATTTTTCATGTAGATTCTGAATATGCCATCAAAATTGAGCTAAAAATTATTTAAACGGCCGTAATTTAGAGTTTTTTAAAATTTACGATTTTTTCGCCATTCACTGTTCAAACTGAATTATCTAAAAAACAGTCTCTCCGATTTTCGATTTTTTTTTTTTATACTTCAAGCTTAAGATATATACTTTCGGTTGATATACTTTTTTCAATTGCCATCGGACGGTTAAGGGCCTAAAAAAATTCAAATAGGCCAAAAAAGGTCAAAAATTGGTAAGAAAAGACGATTTTTTACATTTTAATCCAAATATTTCGATAATGAACACTTCAATTAACGATGTTTTCCCCCAGTTTACCCTCTAAAATGTATAAAATCAGACTATCGACGCTTTCCATACATTTACCGATCGATTAACGGCCTGATGGAAACCGGAAACCGACCG